TTTCGAGCTTCTGAATTATTCATAGCAAAACTATTCAGATCCTAGCAGACCTACTAAATCCCTCACTATATCGGAACTAAGGGACAATATTTTGGGGATTGTTGTGGACATAGGAAACTATTTGTAATCGTTCGTGTGGGCTATTGTATTTTATTTTAAAAATTCCTAAATATTTCGACTTTAGTTGCATACTCGTCAAACACAATAGTTCAATTCATAACATTATGTAAATCTTATTATTAATATCTCTGTATCTGGTTCCTACTTCAGAATTAAAGAATATGTTTCTATAAAGCACTGTATTTTTAAGCGACAAATTCAGTACCTGTTGGGTATTACTATTGTAAAAAGCAAGGTCACATTAAGTCATTCTGATTTATCCAGTTGAAACCCATGCGTTTTTAATAGTAAATATAAAAGCTTTCTGTAGAGAAGTGAATTGGTTTATAAAGTTTTATACTCACAATATTGTTTATTTTGTAAAATCCCTGTTTCTATTTTGTGTTATATTTTCTTTAAGGTTTTCAGGAAGTTTGTCTAGAAATTTTATTTTTAATCATACCCAAGACTTAATGTAAGTGGCCTGTAGAGATCCACAATAATGAGTTAAGTCGACTTAACATAGCACGATATTTACCTTACCGTTCATGTAATTGCAGTTTCTGGTTAGTTGACAGCATTTTCCTTTTCTATCCAAATAACACATTGACTTCATTTTATATATTGACTTCATTTTTTCATGACCGGGTGTCGTAAAATTCTGTCTTAAAACCTACCTTTACAGCTTGCTGAAATTAGTTTTGATAGATCTATTATTCCACAGATAGTTTTATGCTAGGTTTTCCACCAGGTTTATTAATTCTTAGACTTCCACAGTAGAAAATGTTGATATGGTCAGGTCTGGATGGGAATGAACTTTTTTAATTCAAATAAAATATTTCAAAGCTTTATAATACCAAATACTAGATGCGACATAAGATTTTTTAAAGTCAACTGAGATATATCTGGGTTTTTATTACTATAAAACAAGTATACACGTTAGATTTTGGTTTTCAAGGAAAAATTTTAAATTATTAAGTCTAATATCTTGAAAACTAAGCTATCTAAGTTACCAGTGGTGTTCTCAGGAGCACTGTGGTGTTCGTGATAATATAAACCAGATACAATAAGCACTAAGTAATTGTGATATATTTTTGTGTCTATATTTTAGAATAAATATGAGTTAGTAATTTTGATAACTAAATTTTTGAAACATGGGAAGACATTATTAACTATGGGGAAAGAAATAATAAAAAAAATTAGTCTCAGTTGTTGAGAAAAGAGAATATTACTTTCTACAAAAACATACTTATGAAAATATGGATGTCTATATAAAATAAACTGCTGTTAAATCTTATAATTTGTTATGACACGGTTTCGAAAAATTTAAACATGTATATATTTTACTATATTCAATCTTTAGCAAACCTCTCTAACTCTTATTGTATTTAATGCAATAAGATGTAATTAATACATCCCACCTTGACAAAATTATGGCTATGTCACAGATACTAACATATTACACAGTGGACTCACAATAGCTGACTACCTTAATCTTTTGTCAAATTGAGGTTTCCGAGAAAATAAAATCATGTCCCTTATTTACTTACAGGAAGCTTGTTTCACTAAATGCTAAAGAATCTATATATGAAACTTGCCGAACTGGTTCAACTTGTCCATCTAGGACTTGCCGAGTTGCTGCTGTGCTTCTCCGCTGGTCCGATATATTGTACATATTTTATATAGTTTTTATACAGGACTTTTTTTTAGTTATGTTCTTGTTACTGACTCTATTTTTGGAATTCTGTTCTACATACGATTGTTTCACATGTTGTGATATAATGATATCATAATATTGATATCATTAACTGATATTATGTTAAACTTTATCCGCCGTAAATATCTTTGTAATATATGAATAAAATAAATTGTTCTCATTAAATTTTTTAGTTAACTGTGCTTATAAGGCATGGATTGATATGGTTCGCCTTTATTAAAAATAATTAATTCTTAGTAAAATTAACGTTTTATTATTGTTTGATATTCCTATGACTTATATTATTAATGGGAAGATATTCCCATTAATTAATTTAATAAAACTTTCAAAACCCTTAATAATTTTTGATAATCAGAATTTTATCTTCAGTAGGAATTAAATTATATATACATAGTGTGAGATAATTTATTATAACATCGAAGATAATATTTTTGTAATATGTGAAATACGCTTAATTAATACAAGAATGATTAATGGTGTCACTGGATGTTCTGTAAATTTTTTATACAGATAGTCTATACAAGGTGAGATGAAAAAACTGCAACCAACTTCAGACTGCTGTCATTTCTAAACCGCTCGTCCCACAGCTGTCAGATTTATTCTAGTGACAGCTCATTATATTGTTTATAAGCGCACAAAAGCATTTTGGTGGGAATTTTTCAGAAAAAAAGTTATTTGTGATGGAATTCAAGCGTGATAGTGTGATTGCTTTGCATTTGGCTGGAAAACCACAAGTGGCTATCGTTAGAGCCCTCCAGCATTTAGAAGTGAATAAATGTTTTGTGTCTCGTACCATCGCTCGTTACCATGATACTGGTAGCGTAGCCCGACGTCAAGGAAGTGGACGAAAAAAAACAGCAACATCGGCAGAAATGGTTCGAAAAGTGAAAAAGCGAATTGAACGAAATCCGCGTCGCAGTGGACGAAAAATGGCTCGTGAGCTGAACATATCGCAATATGCCATTCGGCAAATATTGAAAAATGAGCTTGGACTAAAGCCATTCAAGTTCCAAAAAGTGCAAGATCTTACTGATGCGCAAAAAAAAGTTAGACTCGAAAAAGCTAAAGAGTTGTTTCGCTTGGCCGAAAGTGGTGAACTGCCGAATTTGGTTTTCTCCGATGAGAAACCATTCGTTATCCAGCAGTTTGTAAACAAACAAAATGATCGTGTTTACTTGCCAGAGAGGTCAGCTGAAAATTTGCAACTTCGGTTGGCCATCACAACTCAAAAGCCGGCCATGGTGATGGTGTGGGCCGCCATAACAGCCGATGGTCGCTCGCCGCTCGTATTCATCGACCGTGGTGTCAAATTAAATGCGCAAATCTATCGCGAAAATATTTTGGAGGGAGTTCTGAAGCCCTGGGCACGCAAACATTTCGGCCGCAGACCTTGGACATTCCAACAGGACTCAGCACCATCGCACTCAGCACGCGCCATCCAAGAATGGTTAAGAAATGAGGTTCCTCGCTTCATTTCCACCGCACAATGGCCACCAAAATCTCCGGATGCCAATCCGTTGGACTATTGTGCCTGGGGTATTTTGGAAAGCAAGGTTGGAACTAAAAAATACCAAAGTGTCGATCATCTCAAGCAAGCGCTTCGCCGAGAATGGGACAAAATACCGCAGAGCCACTTTCGGGCAGCGTGTGATGGTTTCATTGGCCGTTTGAAGGCCATAGTTCGTGCCAAAGGTGGCCAATTCGAACAAATCTAAACCGATTCTCAAATTTGATGTTATTTCCGACATTTTTTGCTTTCATTCAATAAAATTTAAAAAAAATGAAAAAATTATGGCGTTTTACTTTGTTGCAGTTTTTTCATCTCACCTTGTATACACTTTCCTACACTTTTCTTTATACTTATACTATCTCGTGATAATTTTACTTAATATTATTTAGTGGTAGTAATGTAGTTTAAAGTACGGAATGGCATTCATTCCATTTAGATGCATTTACCTATATGCATCTAAAGAAGTATATATGTTACATATGGACTACCTAGTAGTGATAACAAATAGTTTTAGTTTCACTTTCAATTTTGGATAAGTAATTATAACGAATTCGAACTGCAGTAACCTCAGAGGCACACAGCCTTCCATACAAACTGTTGATTTATGTTTAGGTTGTTATTGAACTTTGCACAATAAAATTCACAAAACTCTGCACATTTCCACAAATCGGACTGCCTGCAGTTTTTTTATTTTACTTTGTATCTTTTGCAATAAAATCCATATTTGATCCCTTTGAGAGCGTGAGGCCACCGTTTGCGTGCACTCGCATTTTGGCATGTGGACAATATGACGACGACTAATGTCGTTGCTTCTTAGTGGGGGCTACGGTAGCGCTCTACGACTTCCTAACCATTCAATGTGCTTTGTCTACAAACAATGCTTGGATTGACTTCTTTTTGTCAGTAAAAATGTCAAACTACAGCAACAACAACAATAAAAAGTATGAGTAATGGACAGTTTGGCTGGCTTTTGCCTTCTTTAGCACATGAATAAAATTATAAACTCACAGCACATACAATCATTCAGACACACACTCATGTGTATACATGAGTACACATACTGACACTCATGTGTACACATGAGTATCCATACACACACTCATTCAATTGCTTATTCGCTTTCGAGCAGATAATTTTATATGACTTTGCATTGTAGAATTTTTAATGTTTCAACTTTTCGAATTGATTTTATTTATTTTGATTGATTGAACGTTCGGTTGAACTTAGTTTGAATTGAAAATTGCATCGCAAGATATCTGACATGACACTTTGGTCATATGTCAGCGTATTGAGTTGTTTGTGTCAAGTGCTTTTCATTCAATTTCAGTAAAGTTTCTATTCTTTTTTGATTTTGTATTGAAAAATTTATTTATTTATTACAAAAATTCAATTATATTTAAATAATTTAATAAAAATTAATAATATTAAAAACAATAAAAACAACATATAAATAAATTTCATAAAAAATTCAGGCTAAATTAAATAATTTAATACTAAACTAAACAATCGTGAAACTAATTTACTAAGTAGCAGAATATGAAATATACAAAATGCATGATTAGTTCGATGAAGTTTTAGATTGACTAAATTTTTATATAACTGGGACTACAAGAGTTTTTGAACTTTAATTTTTTAAGTACACATCAAATATACAATTGAAATATTTACACAGGATATCTCCCGAAAGTTTAACGATGTCGGAAAGAATAAATTCTAATTGCCAAAACACTGGGATCGATGTGAATTAGTAAGAAAATTTTTATGGGTTGATCAAGCTGCACACTGGATTATAAACTTAATGGTTCAAGTTGTTCGGTGAATGATTTAGACGGAGTTCTTAAACATACTTTCTTCTACTGTCTGTTTAATATTTGTTGATCTCTACATTAAAATGATTTTAAAATGAAATAGAATTTCATTTAGAACCTTATCCATTAACTCCGTAGTTTAATATTGTTAGCAGCTTTATATAGTCTCGCATGAATCGGAAGTCATTTTTATTAGATTTATTTGCATTCATCCAGCGCATAATTTGAATAAATGTGCATTTGGCTTTATGGCACGAAAATTACTTCTTCCTCAACAGAAACAACTTTAAAAAGATCATCAAAACAGTTAATTTTCTAATCATATATATTTTCCGATATGTGTCCTTCCAAAACTATCCCGTTAGTGTAGGCGTACGTACAAGTGTTAGATCCAGTGGAGCAGGTTTCTGTATAATGTTTTCAGTTTCAGTGTCGGTCTTTTCAATTTCACTGGGTGAATAAGTACTTGTTAAAGGTGTTTCACTATATCTACGTAAATCACTCGACTTAACCGATAAATCAATGGGTTCTTCTTGTGTGTCTTCCGTACTAGATGTTAACGGCATAAAAGTCTCGTTCAAACATTTAAGTTCTTTGATCGCGGGTAATATGTGCGTAGTTTGTGTGACTGGTAAGTGAGAAGTTGGAAAATTTGTTAGAGAGAATGGCATAAATGGACTACGTAGCGGTTCCGAATGAGAACGAAAAATTTGTAAGAATTGTTTACGCCGTCGATCTCGTTCATCAGCATCATCGCTAGTATTGTCTGGATGATGAGCTGAAGTGCTACTACGATTGTTATGTTGTCGACCACTAACACTGACTGCACTGTCGTCCGCTGTATCACCATCTCCAGCAGAGGATGCACCGGAATCGCTCGGCGTATCACTTAGTCTTGACTCGGACTTTGTGTTCAATGCATGACTGTTGCTCTCTAGACCATTTAAGTACTTTGCGGCGGTTAAGAAATTTGTACGATGTGCTGTTGTGGCATTGCTTTGATTAAAGTTGGTTATTGATATTGTGGGTGAGATGCTGGCTGTTTTGATGCAGGGATTTGTTTTATCTTGGTATGTTTGGCGTACTTGCATATGATTTAAACGTGCTAGTTGTTCAAAACTGCTGCCATTACCGGTGCTGCCTGTGCCAGTGCTGTCCGTTTGCTGTGTTTGTTGCTCTTGCAGGAGGCAATGTATTTTGAACCAATTTGACCGTCGTCCATAGCGGGAACCACTCTTTGACATGCCCACTAATAAACACTTACGCAGTCGGCAAGCTTTGCAAGCAGTTCGATTTTTTTTATTGATAACGCAATCGCCATTATTTTTGCAACCTGCAATGGCGGAGATGTTGTTGTAGGTGCGTCCAAAAAATGACTGTAAAAAATTATAAATAAGAAAAAAATTAATTAACAGGCTTTTAAAATTAATTATAAAATATTTTTCGATTTAGTGCTGTAAAGTGAAATTGTGGAAAAACTTGTTTAAAATTCGAGTGAGTAATATATGACTTATGCCAACTTTTTCAAATGAAGGAAAAGCTGGTCTCATTAAATATTTTCCTACTTTAAAAATTTTATATCTGCTTAAAATAAATTTAAGAAAAAGTCTTGTTGTTTTAGTGGGGTTAACTGTAATCTTAATTATTATAACAATTGATAACTAATTCTTATATTATTATTATTTTTTAAATATATATAGTTTTGGGCGAAAATTGTCGAAAAGCCTTCCAAGTGATTTTATAATTTCAAAAACTTCGCATGTCTGATACATTCAGATCTTTCCGGAAGCATCTGTAGGCATTCCATCAGGAGGAAATGACAAGTGCTCTAGCGTCTTTTAGTCTATAACTTAGTTCTTGATGTAGTTATTGGTTGGTTTTTTTCTTCAAAATTAAGATACTTCAGTATTACGTGATTATTTTCAGTCAATTTGCACCATTTAATGCTGAGTACACGAGATATTTAAAGATGTATTAGAAAAATATAATATTTCGACAGTTCACCATTTCTTCCTTTTGTTATGATATTTATATTGTAGACTATTGTACAGGAACAACTGATGTCATGGTAAAAATATTAAATCTTTTAACTTCTATTATATATATGTAGAAGTTACAATCCAGCAACTGTGGGTTAGTGTATTGATTTGATGAAACTAGTTTCTTTTTCTTTCGATTATTTAAATGAATCAAGAAGTCTGTTTATTACTGTGGCGTAATGACCTTCTCTTTTCAAAAGATGTTGATTAACTGATCCCAACTAATTGGCTAATTCACAACTAATTCAGCTGTATGCAGAACAATCTAAGCTTATGGAGCGAAATTCAGAGATCTGTTATAATGTGTAGATGTCAATAATTTACATAGATTTATGATCTTGGTGTGGAAATAGGTTTAGAAGAGGGTGATTTTCATATGTTAACCTACATTTTAAATATATTTCTGATATATTGCACTGTTCAAATAAAAAAATACAAAATTGTGCTACAAACGTAGTATAAAAATAATAAATAAAAGTATGTACTGGTATAATTAATTACTAAATCAAATTAATTCTAAGATTCATTTCTTCTAAAACAAATTCTAGAACAAACAAATGATATAGCACAAGCGTCATATCATAGTAAAACAAATCTTTTAGTCAAAGAGCTATGAAGAGTTTCCATGTAAAATTTCGAACTAATCTGGTCTAATTCGTATACTACATGGCTTATATGATGTGAAATGGGACAAAGTATTCAATTTTGTTAAAGAAACAAATAATAAATAGATATTTATATAACTCTTATTAAGGAATTTATTTATACTTGATTATTTTTTTTTCGAACTATATAATATTAATATTGTATGTTTGATGTACAAAAATGTAAATAAAGAGCAAATAATGTAATAACATATCTACCTATATGAATTTAACTGATACCATGAACTCTTCAGATAATGTTACCGTCTTTCTTTCTTTTTGTTAGGCGCTGTATTGTTATGAGTAGTTGCAGAAGTTCAATTTAATTATATTAGAATGTTCGCAAAATTTATATTAAAACATTTTTAGCATATTATAGACTTATGTTTAATTAAGTAATACTATCGGCAAAAAACTACAAACTTTTAGTAACAGATGTTAGGTAAGCATCGTCAAAATATAGTTGGGTAGAAGAAGGTATTGTAAAACTCGGGCAACCATTATACAAATGTCACCATGAGATTAGTCATACAACACTTAAATGCAGCTGACGAATTATTTTTTCATTTACTTATTTTGGTACCTACCAAATCGGAGGGTGTGAAAGATCTAACAAAGGACTACCTCAAAGAATGGACTGTTTTAAGCAGTTTAACTTTTATAGCTATTTAACTATAACTGAATATTTAAAAGTTAGAATGGTTCGAATAAAAATGAAAAGACGACCACAAATTGAGCCAAATTTTAGTACCTTCTGTTCAAAAATTACTCGGATTTTGTAAATAAAACACACAAATTTAAATTTTATTCCAAATTTATTTTATCTTCTTCAAAATATGCTCCTTCTGAAGCGATACACATATACCAACGCTTAATCCAATCTTAATCCAATACACTTTTCGTAGGTATGGTATGGCTTTTAGTTCCTTCAGTTAATTTTCTTTTACCGATTCAATCGACTCAAAATGCTTACCACGAAGGAGCAATTTGAGTTTCGGGAACAGAAAAAAGTCCCACAGCGCCAGATCTGGTGAATATAGTGCCTGAGCGATGATAGTGGTGTTGACAGCCGTGTTTGGTCAAAAAATCGCGTATAACAAGAATTTTCCATAGTAAAAATCGCAAAATGCACTTGAGGTAGTCTCTAACTAATTGACAGATGGCCCTCAAATTTGTACCATATGTCACGGAAAGGGTGTACCAACATAACAAAAAAATTTTGGAAAAGGTCTATTAGGAGTAGTTAACAAACAACTAAATCCGGATACTTTTTGAGCAGAAGGTATATGACTTAAAATTTTTTGTTGTTGTATTTCTATTCGATCCCTTCTAACTTTTAAATAGTTTCTTTTTATCATAGGATGCGTCATTTTTGACAAAAAAGATTAACATTAAAAGATATAAATCTATTGTAATTTGGAAAGCGAATACAATTTTAAAAAAGAGAGGTGACGATTAGTTGATGATGTTAAAAAGTGATTGACGAAAAATTTGGAGTGTCATTTTACTTAAGTTGTAGTTTTATTAAAAGTGTTAATTTCATTTGTTATTCATCAGGTTCCGGAGATGGAAAGTTAAACTCTATATTGATTTAATTTTTATAGTCCCGTAGCCTGCACGTTCCTGTACTCTTACATATGGTTCATTTTTGCGGGAGGTCTTCAGTCTTTCAAGTACTTTTGTCTTGACTATATGCCTGTGTAGTTGTCAATATTTTATTTATATTTAATAAATTTAGTGTAAGTTATTAACTTTTTTTTGGTGACATTTAATACAACAACAGCAGTAATATCTGTCTTAATGGTTCACTAAAGTCAAGTAGTTAAGCTATTAACTACTTTTATATCATATTTAATGATTAACAGTAAACTTTGAAGAATTAATTTTTTAATAATCATTGTTTAAGATTTTTAAATAGAAATAAAAATTGTTCGTATAAAAGATTTCATAGTAACGGCAATAATTTAGTTCATTTTATTGGTTTTAAAAACAAAAAACAACTAAATAAAAAAATTCTATATTTTTAAAGTACTTAAGTTATTGTGATTATTCTCAATATTTTTATTTGTTACTAATTGCAGCTCTTTCTGGTCTAATTTTATTTAATTGCAAATTAATTGCTACTTTTCTGTGCAAAAGTACAAAATGCCTACAAATTTTTCAAGCCATTAATTTTCACTCAAGCTCAGACTGAACTAGTTCAGATGGGCAACGTTTCATTAGCTTCGGATTGGCATTCACGAGTTCACCCAGCACTTTTAGCAAGTGATCCATTAAATACTTACACACAATTACATATGAATCTATATATATATATATTTATGTACATATATGTATATATATAGAAGTATGTAAATATATTTTTACAATGAACGCGTGATTGCGTTTTAAAAGCTTTTGTTGCTCGTAATTCTGGTCTAATTACACTCATTTAAGACGTTTAATAGTCCGGTGCTCTAATATTTAATAACTCCTTTGTGATGTGTATTCAAAAGGTGAAATACAACAAAAAAAATATTAAAAAATAATGGTAATAAAATATATGTTAAAGCGCTGTGTGCCGTGAATGATTTTAAGATTTTATAGCTCTGAAAATTTCGAATGAGCTAGAGACAAATCACTCGGTTCACAGTAAAATAACTATTAAAAGTATAATTGCGGATTCGACTTCAAAGAACAGCTTCGATGAATGAATCTAATGCGAGTATAATACTAAAGGCTATTTAGATATTTATGCAAATATGTTAAAGTATCTACACATATGCATTTCAGAATCAACGAGTTAATGTGCATAACAATGGCAGATTTATTCGCAGATGACCTTGGCTTTTATTGTTGTTTATTGTTTACTGAATTTAGACTTCAATCAGAAACATCAGCGCAACAGTAGCCACAGATACAATTTTTATTTATTTTCTTATATAAACTCAGTTCATTTCATTGTTATATCTTCGTATTGCATTAGAGATAGTATCTTAAAAGCATATGTGGGAAAATCGAGTTATGTATAATATTTTTTTATGTCTTTAAGAAACTATATCAATAAGTATTTATCCCTTTCTACCAAATAAACGAAGGAAGGAAAGCGAAAGAAAGCATGAAATACATCCATTCTTACTGATCTTGATGTCATAAAATTTTGTCTGGGATTGTAAACAAATGATACCATACTTTATAGCTCTCAACATGGAGTGGTATACAGAATATACAGAATATTGTTTAGAAAATATATAAATCTGCAATTTTAATAAAAAAGACAAGAAGATGCTAGGAAAATTTTCAATAATCTTAAGAAAGATTTATATTAGCATTTATCTGGTGAATTTGTTATGTTGTGTAGTTTATCATATAATGTTAAGCTTAGCTTAAAACGTTTGTCAAATAAAACTATAAACTATTCAAAACTAAGATTTTATACAGTACATAAATAGATTAAATTAAATCAGAGTAGTCCAAAGCATGGCCCGCGGGCCACATGCGGTCCGCGACTACTTTTACTGTACTGGCAAATCCACATCATTTTATTTTTATTGTATAACAAATAAATGAATTTAAATTGATAAATTAATAAAACTAAATTTAATATTTTAACCGTGTTTTTATTTTTGTCGAAAACAACTATGAACGTATATATTTGTTTCTGCGATTCTTCAATCTTAACAGTGATTTGCATTGGCCTACGATCGCATCTAG